CTCCTGGAAAGTCAGCATGCTGAGCAAACTATTGGAAAGGGCTAGTTGGGAATATAATAGCTCACAAAGACACAGATTTGACAGCATTTCTTCCACATTGTTCAGCACAGCTCTAGGTTACAATGCCTCTGGCTTTAGTACATTCCTGGTTCACATTGTTCCCAGTGGTACTGCATCTGTAAGTTCTCATTTGCTAAGCGCAAACACACACAGTTCAGAGGCTGAATACTCCTACCAAGCAGGCGACAACACAAAGGTGTGCAAGGAAGAGGCTCAAAAAAGACAAACTGCATCAGCAATCTGCACAGCAAACGCTTTGTTACGTTACCTTTCCATGTGCTCAGACACACTGAAAATGGCTACTGTCATCCCAGAACAGACAGGCAGGTAGTTAGCAAGAAAATGGCACTAAATACCACAGCGTCATAGAGATCGATTGCAACAGAAAGGAATATCCTCTGAATTTAGTTATCAACCAGAAAATTGCCTAAGGATTCTGGCTCTGCATTAGGAATATTCTGCTCTATCGCAGTTTACAAAGAAGTTAGCAAAGAGCTGATTCACTGAGAAAGGAGTCTGTGTTTTAATAGAGGGAAGTGGAAATCTTGCTATGGTAGAGTAGCAGCTGTGAAACAACTGCCCCAGCAAGATCAGTAATGTCTATGGGAAAAGGAAGCTGAGAGAGCACTACTGATTTATCCCGGTAACAACAGAGGCTTCAGACTTGAAGTGATAGGGGTGCTTCCCACCACACATTGCAGGCCTGAGTAAGAGTTTCAGCCGCTTGACCCCACACGGTTCAGCCTCAGCACTTGCCATTGCCAGGGCTGGTCTGACATCTCTCACATAGGTCTGCTTGATGAATTTTTTTTCAGCAAGGAAGTAGAGTTCCTCCAGTGCAGTTACAAGCCTGCACTGCTTCCAGATGTTCTGCACTGCCTTTTATCTTCCCGAACAGAGTTGGTGTTACTACATAGCTGTTCTTCACCCATCCCTCTTGACAGACAGACTGGCTGGCCCGGGGCATTGCAGCCTCAGCCTGCTTTTGCTTGGGCAGTGAAAAAGTGGGACATGCGACAGGAAGAAGTGCAAGAGGATTTCTGCTGAATATTTCTGTGCTTTCCTTGGTTCACCTGTTTGTTGCCGGACTAGGCTTCCTCCCTCTTTCACCCGCAAGGCACGTTCACTCTGTTCCTTCAGAGCATAAGACTAGGGTATTTCAACCTCTGCAATGTGGCTCTTCAGTGACTTTTCTTGACACACCAGTAACATTTCGGAATACTCTGACATTTTTTTCCTCCCTCCTTGTAATCTTATACCCCTTTGTAACAGTGTTGAGGCAGGAGGTATTCCCTTGCTTCAGTTACAGGTTTTTGGCATCCAAGACCTGGCTCAGGCAATAGGTGCTTCTGAATGTCCTCACTGCATCTGCCATAGACCAGATTGTTAGGTTTAACAGCATCAAGTGCACTAGGAAAGCATTTTCCACTCTTCTTGATTGCTATTATGAATCAGCAAATCTTGTCATGATCACCAGCTATGTGCTGGAGCACATCGAGCATGAAGTGCTTGCAAAAAACCTTTGCGTCTGTTTCCACTCCTGGACTGTTTAGTCCCATCATACTCAAAAGATTAGCTGCCATGCATAGCTCCGATATGCCATTTCTTTGTGGTTACATGCATTTACTCAAACATCTCATCTCTTTCACATGCTGGCCTGTCAGACATGTTATTCTTGCTCTACCTTAAGATTAATGGGAGAGATTCTCCACTGAGGTTAATGGGCGTAGCATGCTGCTCACAATCGTTTTTGGCACAAGCTTCACTGATGCAGCCAGACAAGCTGCCTGTCCTTAGCAGGAAGGAACTAGCCGAGTTTTACTTTCAGGAACCAAAGAATCTACTGTAGCTTAGTCCTTCAAGAAGACAATCCATCACCCACCCAGGAGCTCTGCAGAGTGAGGCAACAGCACGTCATCACCCAGTCCCCACAAAGCAGCACTGAGCGTGGCTTGCTTTTGTTCTTACCCACATCACAAAGATTTCAGTGGAGCCTGGTCATCTAGAGCCATTCATCTCTATTGCTCTCAGGTTCTGCTCAGCAGTACCCTAATGGGCTTTCCTCATCCATCATTACTGGCAATTTCATCTCTGTCTCTTGCACTTCCTCCCCATGCCTTTGAATTGAAGATTCTTCTCCTTCAGAGGAGCTCATAACATTTACTGCACGGTACTGGAAACTCTGGACTGAACTGAGTCATAGTTCAGCAAAATTAGACTGGTTTCTTCTTCCTCACAGTAGGAAACTGGACATACTGCAGCTGTCTTTCTGTTTTCCTGTTTAAACAGTCCCATCTTCCTGTGGCTCTGTCCTCAGTGGCAGAGTATCTGAGGCACATGGCTTCCAAAACAGGAGATAAAATGGCTGTTGCCAAAGGTTGTTTTTAAAGCTGTTCAAAGGGTGATGGAACTTTGCAGAGTTTCCAATTGTTAAACAGAGTTATGGCGTTTGGCTCTTTCCTACAGTCTCCCAATATCTCTCATTAACACCAGCTTAGTACTGCTCTTCTGGGAGTCAAGAGCAACATTTCAACCGGCTTCCAGGAAGGAGAATGGAGCTTTCTAATACAAACCCTGTGTAATATCCCTGCACACCCTGCTCCAAACTACATGACTTCATGGGAGGCCACGCTACAGCACAGTACCTCTTCAGCATGCTGCTTTTAGCAGTGTAGGACCCCAAACACTATTTAGGTTATTCCACATGTCAGAAAGCATCATGTGATGTTTTAAAGGTCTTCAAAACTGGGCAACAGATACACAGTGAGACCACACAGCGATCATGAAGGGCACTGTTACATTGCCTATGCCTGTGGCCACGGTTTTCAACTTGCTGTTCATCTAGGATTCCTCCCCTTCCCTGTCAGTTCATTGAAGCCACACAATTTTACACGAAAAAGTGTAGTGCCAAATTTTCAAGACTGCCCAGCAGTGGGTTGCCCACTGGCACAATCCAGGAGGCTATGCTATACAAGCTGCTCTTTTATAAGGAGATTCACATTTCTCTGCCATGAGCGAGTTTAACTTTCAAAGACGGGCATATGCAAATACATGCCATTTCTGTTTGTTTTCTTACACAAGCATTGCTCATCAGTATCTGCTGAGGGGAAAATCATTTACGTTCTATGAAAACACCTAAGCATAAATATGATATTTCTGTACATGAATAGAAGAATTTCAGAGCCTGTGTTAGCTACTTGCAAATGACGGTGCCCACCTCACTTTAAAAACTGGCCCAGCATGTGAGTAAATGTAAGCATAATAAAAAATAATAGGAAACAGACAGGCAATAGAATTAAAAGCAGCAGCCAGCTGGGTTCTTCTAACCAATGACATCAAGGGACTGCTGAGGTAATACACTGATGGGTTTTAAATTAACTGTAACCACTCAGGAAAAAGATCTAGGCGTCACTGCGGACAGCTCAATGAAAACATCTGCTCAATGCACAGAGGCCATCAAAAATGAACCAAAAATGTGAGGTTGAATAGAATAAAGAACAATACCAAAAATGTTATAAATATCATTACATAAATCAATGACATATTCACGCTTTCAGAAGCGAGCTGAAGTCTTCTTGCCCCATTTCAGAGATGGTGCAGAAGAAACAGTCCAGAGAAAGAATCCAAAAAAAATCATTAGAGGCACAGAAAGGTTTCCAAGGTCATCAGGAGGAAAGATTAAGGTCTATGGGGTTCAGAAAAGGGCTATGCTAGAAATTCATAACATAATGAGTGACCCAGGGAAGGTTTTCACATTTGCTCACGCTCAAGCTAAAGAAACAGTAGCCACCCAAAACATTCCAAAAGTGTTATTAACATGTGAAAAAGGAAAGGTTTCTGGGGTTTTGCAAACTGCATGTGGAACTCCTTGCCACAGCTGTCAGGCTGAGAGTTAAGCTGAGATTCAGAAACGTATTTGCCATTTCTCACTCCAGTGGCATAATGCAAGAAGAAAGGAAATGTACATGATAGCGCCATGCCTGCTTGCACGCAGGCCTGGGCAGTCCCAGATCTCGTGCAGCTAAGAGATCTGGCTTGTCAGTGATTACCACGAGGATTTGGGAGCGGGGGAGGTGGCAGGGATTCCCCTTAATTTGAATCTGGAAGATCCAGGGCAACCTTCCAATGAAGGAAGCCAGGGAAGAACTAGATAAGCACAGGACTGCAGGGAGGGGTTAAAGGGGGAAAATGAGCCTGGAAGAAAGGAGACTAAAGCTCATATAGATCTGGAGAAAGGAAAGGGGTGTTATGTGGCCTTTCCTGCAGCACTCCCCACATCAACCTTCTCATTCTCCCCATGATTCGGTGTCCTTCCACGCCCTGCCCTCTCTACTGTTCCTTCAAACCCACCCCATGCCTCCAGTTCCCAATTTATCTCCCGGGCACTTTCCCTCTCCACCCATCTTTTATTCTCCTACTTAGGATAACCCTTGCAACCATGTGAGAGGGGAGATTAAGATGCTACCCAGCTGCCTCAGACTGTGTATCCCACTCCCCTAGATATGAGAAGAAATGACAATTCTTGGCCACAAGTGAACATTTAAGGCTGCAGCTGGCTGAACTGTGGACATGTCAAGCCACAGATCGAGCCATGACAGAGCTGCCCAATGCATTAGTGTCATGCCACAGGTGCTGATGCTTGGCAGCTCTGCTTTTCAACACCAGAAATCCTGGCCCATCCCCTGGAGCCACATCTACTTTAAATCCCAGCTCACCATTCAAGCTGCTAAAATAAACAGGTAACATCTGAATATCCTGAAAATGGGGAAATTTAAGTCTGCACTGATTATTTTTAGTCTTTGAGTGTTGTAGTCTAGGTTTGGATTCAGCCTCTCATAAGGAGACCAACTTCAGAGCTTGGCCAGCCTGGAGGCTGAGCCAGTGACTACAGTACACATTTGGAGCCGCACATGAAAGAAATGATTTCTGTTCTAGGATACCTTTCTCTGTCTCCTTCACTGAGAGCAGGGTTTTCTTTCCACCGTGCAGGGACCCACGACGGCACAGACCAGTTGCAAGTGCCTAAAACCAAGCACATACCTTGGTTAGAGGAAAGCTCATAAATTACCGTGCACAACGCTGGCATCTACCTAGTTACGAGGGCCGATAAACCGCTTCAGAGGATGGGCTCTGTGTTTTGGGTCAACCCAAGTTGCATATGGCTCTGACCTCCTTTTCAGGGATGAGCATATGGGCAAGGATGGCAGAAACATCTTTATGGCCTTTGAAATTAAGTAATGGTTCCTCAGTGTTCAGGGATTTCCCCAAGTTCTCCCCAGCTGAAGTAAAGAACGGTCCTGGAGATACTGCGAACACATGGGAAGCATTAAAGCACGACACCACACAGCACTTAGCCCCAACCACCCTGCCCACACATATTATGGAGTGCAAGGCCACCTGCTCCTCTGTCAGTCAACGTGCCTGTGGGATGCGCGTGGCAGAACTTCTCCGAGCTTCCATGGGTCTGCAACGGTCTTTCCTGCTCTGTTACCTACACCTGGTGCTGAGGACCTCAGGGGCCTGTGTCCACATGGACACATCGCCACAGTCTGAACTTGGAAATGCGCCACCAGGCAAACCATCTTGCAAATACACGCAAGTGAATTTATAAGCACATGCATAAGCAGAGGTCCCAGAGGGACTTTGGCACTTCTGTGGTCACATATGACGCCATCTGCCACCAGAGTAATGCCTCTTGTGAATCTTTTCCCCCTGGAAAGAGCAGAGGGGTAAGAACTTGCCCCAGGGTACTGGGACACCTCGGGACTATCAGATTTTTTTCCTACCTCACCTCCTCTGCGCTCCCCTCAGAGCGCCCCATTCCTAAGAAACGCAGAGTGTCACAAACATCATCCTCCCTCACCAAAAAAACACCCTCAGTTACTAGCCCATAATCTGTCTTCAGCATCCAGCTGCCGGTACTTCACTTCCCCTCCCAGATGGGGAAGCGGGAGTCCTAGCAGAGCAACCTGGAGTACTTACTGCCCACTGCCCAAGCCATTCATCTCCACACCTCCTACTCCACAGCCCACCTGCCCTCTTCCCCCCACTTTTCTGCCAGTGGGGAACCCCACCACCAACATACTGTGCGCACAACATGATAAAGCAACAAGAGTCCAGTGTTAAGTAAGGCATTTACGTGTAGCCAGCATTTCAAAAGGCACAGTACATGCTGTATACTCCAATGCCGTCAGACTCCAAGGCTGAATTCTCCAGTGTTTTAGGAAAAAGGTAAGGCGGGAGGAGAGTGCGAGAGGGGGGAACAGACCAAGCTTTGTGGAATTCTTCTTAAAGTGTGTGTATGACTGTATAAAAGAATATTTTCTTTCCTGACCTCGAAAAGACAATATTATTTCACACAGACATATTTCCAAGAGTGGCCAAGCTATTTCTAAATGAACGGGTGCTCGGTTGAAGCAGAGGCTGCACAGGGGAAACCCTCTCTCCAAGTACGACATGGAAATTCCTTGACCTCAGCTGCAAAGCTGATCAACATGTGTGCAACAGCCAATGAAAAAAGCTGAAATACCAAAGTGGCCAGCGTAGTTGAGGACAGGTGTGTAAGGGAGAAGGCACAGCCTGATTTTTCCAGGCAAAGGGCCTGACAAAAAGCGAGACATGCAGGACTCTGAAGAGGAGAAAAGCAGAGCAAACGTGAAGATAATAAGACATTGGTCAGGAAAGCAAAGACTTAAAATGCCAGGCAAACATGTTCTGATTCATATGCTATGGCCTGGAGGTAAAAACGCAGGGTAAACAGACATGGAAGTCAACAGAGCTATAGATTTATTTTAGGCTACGTTAACATTTGGTGTATTTCAGGAAAAAGGTTGGGTGTTCACTATGAGCCCAGACAGAGGCAAACAGGTTCGTTGTTAGACAAGACCCGGTAAAACTGAGTAGTGACTACACCAGAGATCTGTACGTTAACCTGGAGCTGTGCTTGCTTCCTTGGGAAGCCAGCAGAGAAGACTCCTGCCCAGCATTAAGGGCTTGCCAACCTACTGTCTCCTGCAACAGTCCCATAAACAAGCCACTCCAGGATAAAAGCCTGCAGAGCATCAACAGTTTGGATTCGAAGCCGGCTGACCTCTTCAGCTTCCTTCTTGGAGTAGGCCATCTAGAATTAACATATCTGAGCCCTAAAAAGGCTTATGATCAAGGCCAAGCCCTTCTCATTAGGTGAGCCATGTAACTTCTCGCTGTGGCAGAAAACTGACATATAGCCACAGCCCTCCTTTGCTCTGTGACGTGATTTAAAGTGCTATGCAGTCAGGCCATTCAGTGAGCACACAGGAACTCAGGGCACTTCCCTAACGCCCCAGGTGCATGGTCTGCTCTCTCCCTGGGATAAACATCAGACAGGAGGGACCTCCCACTGCCAGAATCATGCATCTTTTTCATGGTCCGTTCTGAAGTTAGCAGCAGGAAAGAGGACTGCAAGGTCTGGGCCACAGACCTTGCCAAACCCCAGGCCACCCTTAGGGAGCAGACCAGCAAACACAAAAAGCTCTGGTGGCATTCTTAGGTCACTTTAGGTGCGCACACTGGGAGAGGGATGACATCCTTGGGTGACATGGATGACAACCATGATATCCTTGTCATGGATGTGAGCCTCTTCTAAGTTCAGCCATGGCTGCAAGCCACAGCCATAAACCTTACCAGGAGGGAACGACTGCGCCCATATTTAGGGGAGGTAAAGCAGTAGCAGTCAATATACTTCCACCATTTTAAGTGCCTCAAGAAACTCCAGCTACAGAAACCATTCAGCCCCTAAAGGAGAAAGTGACACACTGCAGAGAGTGAGCTTGCTGCTTTTTAGATACTCTACATTAAGAATAAAAGCATCCAGGTACAACACAGATCTTTAGATCTGTGCTCCCAGATCTAGAATTAGGTCAAAACCCAGCCTATCTTCACTGAGTTATCACAAGACCCACCACATAGCTAATGAGCAGCAGAGCAATAGTTTACCATCTTCTGAACTTCTGCAGAGAAAGACAAGCCCTTGAAACAGGTCAGTGACATCCAAGGAATTTTGTGGTTACTGAATCTCCAAAGCACGACCCAGGCTTCTGTCTGGGATATATGGTCTTTCCCATTAGACATCCAGAGGCATCATGGGTATTGATCCAGTCTCTCCTCTTCTCCCCTGGTCACCTACCCCTCTTTTGCTAACGTCAAACTTTCGAAGGCCCCCAGTGCTCCTACTCTAGGACAGAAATGTATTTATTAGGGTAAAATGAATAGAGTGCATATGAGTTAGAAAATGAGTCCAGTCTGTTCAACTAGGGTTGGGCAAACTTGTTTTGCCTAATTTAGAGGCCATTCAAACATTGTGGGTTTGAACATTACTGCATTAGTGTTTCACTTAGGAAAAACTGTGAAAAAAAAAAAGTGAAGAGAAGGGGAAAAAAAATCCAATGGAAACATAAATAGAGTATAACGTATATGGGGGACCCGCTTGTGCCAGCACAGACCTTCTAAGCCCTAACACATCACACAGACTTCCCTTCAGCTAGAAGTTCCTTTAAAAGACTTTTTTTTTTTTTTTTTTAAATAAAGAATCCTGAATCACTATACAGAGGTGGAACAGGTCAAAAAATATGGGCACACATGCCAAGAACACCTGGTCCATATTTCACCCTAACCTGTCTTCATTTACACTTTGAAATCAAGGTCACACAGCTCAAGGATGGAGAGTTAACCTGCAAAGCTCCATATCCCTCATACCCCCTCAGGCAAATCACGGCTGCCCTCTGCACCAACGGCACACATTGTAAATTCTCCATGGATCTCCACAGATCTTCAGGTTTACCCATTCCTCAGTTGCAGTAGGCAAGATATGGGACTCACAACAGCATAGCTTTATGAGGACAGTTAACAGCTTTCATTTTACATCCCTCTTTTCCTTCTGTGGTGTCTTGGCCCCAGTTATCCGTGTTTGGGTGAGAACTACAGAATCTGAGGCCCCTTCTCAATCAGGGTAAGTGAATCATTTTGGTGACTACACCAGTGCCAACCAGCTAAGGAATAAGACCTTTAGGTTGAAGAGTTATCAAGCTATCTCTGAGGAGACAACTGAACCCCAAAGGGCCAGCAGCAGGGAGAGGTGTGAGATATCCTCGGGGCAAGGAGTGAAAACAGGCAGAGAACGTGGCACAAGAGAGAAAACAGGACACCTGGGAAGGAACATAAGGCACAGTAGAAAAGAGGCTCCCCTTACCAACGTGATCAGGTTAAACAACCTTCTCTGTCACACATCCCCACTTTAAAAGTTGAGAAAGCTGCAAGAAACCAGGTGGAAGCCAGACTTAGACTAACCTACCTCCAAGTAGATTTTCTTTCTCCTCTTACTAAAGGTTGTTTTAAGTAAAAACAGAGATGAGAAATTAAGAGATGAGGGGACACAGTAGACACTGCCTACCTGCCCATGAGCAAGTCTAAAGGCTGAGCCTGGCCTGACCAAGCAGCTCCTCCACAGCAAACAACCTCCAGCCCCACCACGTGAGCTGCCAGCCCAAGAAAGGCCTCACACTTGGCATCAACCCCCCTGAAACACCTCTCCTTCTGCCCCTCCCTTCTCCCCCAAGCTCTTTAAAGCCCCATCATCCAGGTGGGTTCATCCCCTGCTCCCACTTCCACCTGGGTTGCACTCTCCTCACCAGCAGGGCCTGTAGGCTTGCACCACCTGAAAGAAATGGGTCATGTTTTCATGAAGAAACCACCGTTACATCACACTGTACTTTCATCCTCGGTCCTGGTTCCCTGTGCCCAGGAGATGCCTTCAAGACTGGAGCGCTATCACACAAATGGAAAGCAGGCCACTCCAGCGGTGCCAAGAAAGGTGCTGTCAGCCCTGTACAGCAAAGATCTCGCACAAGAGGAATCCCTTTTCTTTTCCATACCATCTCTGACCCTCCCCACCTAATCTATATTTTTTTTTCCGGCCCAGTGTATACTTTCCAGCTCGTTTCCTCTTGCGGTTCTCATTTCCCGCTCCTAGGAGGTGAGCTCATGCG